GTATGTATGTATGTATATATGTATGTATGTATGTATGTATGTATATATATGTATGTATGTATGTGTATATATACATACATATATATACATACATATATATACATACATATATATATACATACATACACATACATACATACACATACATACATACATACACATACATACATACACATACATACATACATACACATACATACATATACATACATATATATACACATAGAAATCTAAGCTGCAACTAAGAATTATTTACTATTAACTAATAACATTATTAGAATTAAACTGAAATATATGCATGTTGTCAGTGTTCAACTGTATTTTTTTCCCCCGGTTAATAATGAAATGTGCAGAAATGTTCAATAGCTTTTTTTTTTTATGTTTCTAAGACTTGACAAGACAAAACTTATAACAAAAGTGAAAAAATAGAGAAATAAGTGCATTCATCATCTAAAATGGACTCTTGACACTTAAGTTTGTTTGCTTTCCATTTAACAGATACATGAATGCAGCTAAAATTGGAGAAGACGTCCTGATCACTGCACAGGTTTTAAAACAAGGACGGACTCTGGCATTTGCAACAGTAGATCTCACCAACAAGGCGAACGGAAAACTCATTGCTCAGGGAAGACACACTAAACACCTCGGTAGCTGATTATGTACATGCCCTGTAATTGACACGAAACATGTAGTTCTTTGTTATATAATAAACTCCTGCATAAAAAGCTTTGCACTGTGTTAGGATATGTTCAGCAGTGTTTATTTCAACAGAATTATTCAAACAATGGGTACAACAAAATAAAGACAAAGACCCACCTTCCCCTTCGACGTGAACTCAGAATTTCAAAAGGGGGAAGTAATGATTTTATGCCATAAGAACGGACAAAGATGGCTTACGGATACCAAGTCCCAAGCACTGCAATATTTAGTACTCTTAGAACAGGGTGGTCTATAAAAGAAAAACAAATCCATAATGATCCATTTCAAGTTTCTCTACGAAATTTCTCACTAGGTACATTAGCTTGAACATCAGTCTCTCATCACAAACCCACCACAAATGATCACATCTGGTATCAGTAGCTCGTATGTATATATAGTGCATGAGTTGCTCAACTGGTGACAATTACCATCCCAAGCAAAAAACAGCATCAGAATTCCTCCAACAGACGGTTTATGTCAACCATCTTAGATACACATCACACACTGCACCTCTGTCCCCATCAGGCACCACTCCTCCAGAAATGATAAAGCAAACAAGATTTGTCATATTATAGGCAAGGAATGACACTCAAATTAAAATGTCCAGCAAAAACTAAGGCAGTAACTGAATGAGAAGCAATGCCTACACCAAATGAGTTAACAAGTAGTGTTCACCTTGTAATAGAGGCCTTTTGAGGAAGACTACCCAGGCTCTTTTGTCCTGTCACCGATTGTCATTGCTCATGAAATCCCTACTCAATATAACAGACTATATAACAATATAACTATCCCTCATAACAGTGATGTTAAAGTCAGTCCAACACACGAGGACCACATGTGAGAGACCTGTCATTGGTTTCATTTTTTTTTTGTTTCGTTTTGTTCCCTTAACGTAAAGAGTTCCTTCGGTGACTGGTATTGTTGACGGTGCAGCTCCAAGAGAACAACCACTCAAAATCAATGTTCATGCAGGTTTAAATAAAAACTGATCAAAGAGAGGGGAGATGGGGTGAGCCAAACCAAGACTGGTTGAGGGAGGGATTTAAAACAACAAAAAAAAGGAGCTAACTTAAATCTCACGATGAAAATGAGTGGTTAACAAAAAGGAGAGTTCCAAGCACAAGTTCATATCTATTCGACTGAGGGATGTATAGATAAGGACAACTTGCTTCGAGGCCTCGAGGGGTGTCTTCCGTGCGTTTCTCCTAGTCAGGCATGTATGGACGGAGGTGGTCCTCGATGTCTCCAACCCCCCAACAGGTGAGCTGATCCTGTGGCAGGTAGAGACAGAGGCTGCACAACTTGAAAACTGTGAGCTTGGTTTTTGGAGTCTGTGGAAGAAAGAGGAGACCAAAAAAATATTAGGCTATTCTTAGATACTACATTATGCAGTAAATATTAGGGTATTGCAAAGTGTATAGTTATTAGGAATTCACCAATATTAAAATTTTGGCCAATACTGATAAGTAGGGCTGTGCAATTAATCGCATGCGATTAATTGCACAGCCCTACTGATAAGTCAAATTATATCTTTATGCTACTGCAAATAACCAATAAATAAACCATTTTAAAATAAAAATGCGTGATTGGTAGTAAATCGCCATCACCTGCTTTCAGATGGAGCAGCATTCACTACATCAGAGCCGTAGTTCACTGACAAGCTATGCGATATCGCGTTCATAATCGAATGCGATTCATCTGCGATTATGAACGCGATATTGCCTAATTGTCAGTGAACTATGGCTCTGTGTAGTGAATGCCGCTCCATCTGAAAGCAGGTAATGGAGATTTACTACTAATCACGGAGATGCGCATGACAATCGCATGCGATTAATTGCACAGCCCTACTGATAAGTCAAATTATATCTTTATGCTACTGCAAATAACCAATAAATAAACCATTTTAAAATAAAAATGCGTTATTAAATAACTTACAATAAATGTTAGGCTATTATAAGGTTTGTACTTATTATGGATTCATTGTTATTAAATTCTTAGCCAATTAAGATAACCAAGAAAATATTTTTGTCATTGCCAATAGCCAACAAAATTACAAATATTCAAATTCTAAAAAAAAAAAAATGTTTTTTATTTTATTTTAAAATTTTTAATTTATTTTAAAAATGTAGTTATTATATTATTCCATGGTCTGTCTGAATACTGGATTCTGATTGGCTGGCAGGTATACATTAAAACCGTTTAATGCACAGGTAGTTCCAAGTCAGTTTAATCACCGTTCTATATTAATGCGCTGCTTTAATGTTAATTGATGCACACTAAAGCCCAATTTATACTTCTGCGTCGAACCTACGCCGTAGCCTACGCACAGACACACACCCTACGCTGTAGCCTGACATGCACCTCTCCAAAAATCTAACAGATTTAGCTTAATTCTACGCGGACCGCAAACGCTGTGATTGGTCTGCTAGAACCCCTCCCTCCGTATGCACTTGGAGTTTTGAGTGTGTGTTTATGTGCTTTTTAATATATTTTAATGTTACACCTTCTTATATAAAATAAAACAAAGCAAAGAACAAGTGTCTTATTTATTATACTACATAGCATTATACATCAGTAGTTGTCCGCGACAAACAATGTTGATCTGCCGTGGTACAAGTCCTTGTGGAGATTGAAAGTTTGCCATCTTCTCCTGTTCCGTTGTCATCTCCTTTTTGTAATTTTAAGTAATGATTTAATATTTATTTGCCGCCGTCACGGCTATAATGCTTCTCCGACGAGCCACTTCTTCTTCGGCTTTTGCCGTGGTACTGTGGGTTACACCAGCAAAACATGCCCGTGGACACTGCAGACTAGCGGTGTGCATGTGTACTGCACGTTGACGCGGACAACGACGCAGAAGTATAAATGAAAACTGACGCAAAGCCTGC